ATAAGAGACAGATTTTGTTCTATTTGGTTTGTATTTGCAGGCTTCTTTAGAGAAAATTGAAATGCTGATTTCCAAAGTTAAGATTAATTAAAACATTTTGGTCTCTCGAGGGTGTAGAGAGGTACCTGGATGATTAGAGCACATAGATGTTCCTCAACTTAAGTCCATCCATCATTTCCAGTTCACCTCTAGGTTTTCAAGCCTTGTTTTAGGGTGTCTGTTTGGAGGTTTCTATGTGTTAGCTGGATATTTGACCTCCCAGTGAAGTCAGTGAAGAACATGAGTAACACTAAGTGTCTAGTGCTATTTGAGATGTCCTGGAGCATGAAGGACCTGCATGGAGCTGTAGATGAGACACAGAACCAGGAAAATTCATTCCCTTCTGGAGCCACAGTGGGAAGATAGGGTGCCTCAAATTATTTAAGATGCCTTTGTGCAGGCAACTGAACCAAGCTGTGACCCAGTGTGGTCAACAGAGTGTTGGGAGTGATTCAGCTGGCCACATTTATGCTGAGGTCCCTCATTAGACCTTGACCCTGTCTAGTGTACCAATAATGTAATTTTAATTACCTCATGAGGTTCTACAGTGGAATTTGGTTGGAATGTGGTGTTAACATCAGAGGAGCAAATTGTAATCTTAGTAAAAATGTTAGAGATCTGCTAAAAAATTCAGGAATTAACTGTTTTGTGGCAAAGACAGACGTGTTTTGGGAAAAGCGAATTAAGTGCCAAGTCATCTACAACTACGGTAGAAGCTGAGAGCAGCCATCAGTGCAGCCAGTTAGGCACATCTCTGCAAAATTTGCAAAGACCAAGAATTCCTTTTGTTTGGCTCACAAAATCTGCAAATTCTCTCCTTTTAAAAGACTCCCTTCAATTTCCATTTCCTTTTAAACAGGAAATTTAATAGACATTTATGGGAAGACAATTGCTGGAAGATACGAGACCCTGGACTTCAATGTGGATTATGTTGATGGGTAATTATATATAGGCTGCTATCTGACCCACTCCCTGTAAATTGGCATTTCTTCCATCAGCCTTTGTGACAGCAATAAATTGCAACCAGTTGGCCCAGAATTGCCATTTACTTCCTTTGTGGTTTATTGCAGCTCATGAGTTGGGCTCCAGCAAACTTTGTTAATCTAATTGCAACTGGTCCATTAAGCTAGTTGGTTTGTTTACTGGCAGCACAGTCAATCACAGCTCAGTGTGAATTGTACTGTAATTGCGTCTGGTTGCTGTAGATTTTATTTTGGCTAGCAAATTAAAATTTAACTAATTAAAATAATGTCAGAATCTAAAAGTTAAATAAATTTTCCCTTCCATTTGCATTTTTAGAAAAAAGATTAGTTTGAAGCAGATGCTCTGGTGAGTCAGAAGAAAAAAAAAAACAACAAATAGAAGTGTTTTGAGACAAAAGGCTTTGTTGTTCACTGCTTTAAACCCTCTGGTCACTTCCTTGTTCTTAAGAAAGGTTTAATTTTTATTTTCTGTTGCTCCTATGGTTACATGCAACAGAACAAAGCAGGTAGATTCTACAAATTTACTCCAGGCCAGCAGCACTTTAAGCACAGTGAATCCAATATAATCGAATGCTGACCTGCCCTCTGCCATGTATATCCGCATGTATGGAAGTGTTCTCAGATGCTACTGAGTTATGATTTCCTGGCACTTGTGTTAATGGCCATGAAGAACTAAGTCCAGGTGAGTATTTTAAAGATAAACTGTTAACCTATAGTTACTGTGCTGGCATTTTAAAGATCATTTCAGGAGCCAGGGAAGATGTGTCTTCTCAGTAGTTAGAAGTTTTAACCGCAGCAACAGATATTTGACCACGAGATGCTTTATTTCTCAGGCCGGATGGAAATGGCCCTTGATAAGTAATTAAATTCTCTGCTAGTGTGAATGAAAGTGCAGGTTCCTGCCATACCAGCTGCACCCATTTATCAGCCCGATACTTTTGCTGGCTGGATGCACATTAACAACCTTTGTTGGATGTTAATTATTGTTTTACCTGCCTCTAGTGGAACAGTGAAACCTTTGGTCAGTGGGAAGAAAGGTTGGTCTGTCTGGCTGCAGGTTGGACGTGCCTGCATGCTCCGTTGCTAAATTACTCATTTACAGCTTAACCTCATTATTACCAAAAAGGAAATGGCCTCAAAATCTCAGCATACCAGGCAGGTTCACAACGTAGCTTCACATGAAGAGTTTGCCCATTTTTGGCACATTACGTACCAGGTGGGGACTTAGACTTGACCAGAGCAGTCTTGTCACTCAGTTGCATCGATTCAGGATTTGGAGTAAAAAAAGAGAATGTTTTTTTATACTTTCAAGTGTGTTCTGCACCCTTTTTTTTCCCCCCATGCCTTTGTATGGGATGAAATGGTCAAGTGATGCTGAACCAAACATTTTGCAACACTGAATTTTTTTCTATTCATCCGTAAAAAGGAAAGGCATCTCACTATCAGCAAGCTGTATTAATAAAAGAAAACTCTGTTATTAAAACCACATAAAACCACACTCTGAAGCATGGGTCATAGCAAAGTGTTTGCATTACAGGTTTTAATTACACATTCCTCTTAATTTCCTGTTAATTCTCAAAGACTCATTGCTAACTTTTGCTTATTATGCTACTTAATGTGAATTTATTGCTCTCACCTGATTCTTCCTCTCCAGTGGAAGTTGCCTCTTGCCATATTGGTTCTCTAAGGTGGAGATACTTGGATATGTTATTAAGAGCTTGGATGATTTCTAGCAGAGGTTGTTTGTAGTGTTTTTCCTCAGTGAAATAATGAAATAACTGAGCTGCACCTTGAAGCAATATGGCTGGGCAAGCATGATGCTGTACTTGTGCTGCTTGCTGTTTCTTGGAGGTAAAGGTGGGTATAGTCCTCCCGGAGCTCAGACTACCAACCCTTCTCTACAGGCAGGACGTATTGGGTCATTCAGAGCTGGCATGGGTGTCTCAAGGACGGTCCTGCCACAATCTTTACAGAGATGTGGTTCTCACAGTATTTGGGAGTACACTTTGCAGGTGGAGATAAGAGATAGAGCTTGTCCAGTTTTCTAGAAGGTTAATAAATGTTAGATACAAGTAAGGGGAAATTCCTGACACATTTGAAAGTATTGGCTGATGATTTTAACAGGATCAGGTTTTCATCTGCGAAGCTCTGTCACATCGTATCTCATTTTTCTTGTTTATGTTTTGCCTAGGCCAGCTATCCTTATGGCGGAAGGAGATGGATGGGCCAGTCTCTGCTCTTTTGCTGACAGGACAGCTGGAAGCATGTCAGTTCTTGACTTACCTTTGGTTTGTGTTGGTGCAAGGGCTCAGCACAGCTTGTGCACAAAAAATTTTCTTGGCTTTTGGAGCTCTTGTGCTTTGACTTAAGATGGAGAGCGATGACGGGGAGTTGACGTATGGTCTGTGACAGGGGTGGGTGAGGGTTGCTGGCGCTCCCTACCTCTAGCCACAACCAGTCAGGGCCAGGGGCTGTTCTCTGCCCCAGTGATGACACGCTATGCCTTGGCCACATCTGTTCTGGTCAACTCTTCAGACTCCAAAACTGAGTAAACATTTTCAAGCTGCCTGTTGACCCTGGTCAATGCATTGTTTTCAGTCAAATCTAGACACTGATTTGAAATGTGGAAGTTTTAGCTGAACTGAGCCCAGACTGGGCAAGCAGAGCTCTAAAAATTTAATAGCACAGGCAGACAGGCTCTGGTGCCTGGGCCCTGGCACTCTTTCTTTATTGGTATTAATGAATCCTTGCCTCCTGTAAGTTGCAAGTGACCCTTTAGGTTGCTGGCTCTTGCACCCTGTTGAATTTCAGGAATAAAAAAAAGTCATGGGCTCTGCAGTAGTGTTTCTTTTTAGGAACTGTGCACTTTTCACAGTGCCTGTGAGCCTTGGCAAAGAGGGATGCTGCTTTTAGAGGGAACCAGGGGAAAAAAACCCCCTGCTTCTGCAGAAGTCAGTGCTAAGGCTCTTGGGATCCTCTGTGGACCCTCTTATTGCACTGTAAAATTCCTGCTGGCTCCCAGGAGAGGGACTTAAATGCAAATATGAGTTGCTGGTGGGACTTGTCATTCCATAGCTCCAGAAGATTGACATAATGCCAGCATATCTGGTTTAATTGCTACATGTTCCTTCTTACAGATTAGGGACACGCAGAGGAGCAAGTAGAGGGGAAACAGTTTTGTCCTCCTATTCACCTTCACCCTGTGCCCAGACTCGCCTCTGCTCAGCTTTTATGTCAAACAGGGATTCTGAAGGTCACCAACAGGATCAGCATCTGGGAACAAGGGACAAGGGGTCAAGCTGGAGCACTGTGTGTTGCTGGGGGCCATGCTCCTAAACTGCCGAACTCCTGATCATCAGTGGGAGATGGGTTGTTCCTCTCCCATCTTATCTGTTTCTTTCCCTTGTTTCTGAAGGGAGCCAAGCATTACTAGCCCACATGTATTAGCCCACACCTTTCCTTGGTTAGATGATTCTCACTGTATTTTGTGCTCTTGCCCTTTTTGCTCCCAAGGTTCAGCAAAGTCATTTGTCTCTCCACAGCTACCCTATTCAGGCAGAAGATGGACTGGGGACCCTGCAGTGCCAGGTGGAAGGGAACCACATAGGTTGGTGAAAAGGGAGAAAAATCATGGGTTTGTGTTATTTCTGCAGCTCCAGAGGATAGAGGCAGGGTGTCAATCACGAGTTCCTGCTCTGTCTTCAAAAGTAAGAATGTGGCTCAGGGCTGAATCAGCAAAACCTGCTACAGATCGAGGCTTACCAGTCTTGAACACAGCCACTGCTGTGATTTAATCCTCTGCGCAGCCTTGGAGAAAACAAAGTGTAGTGCTCCAGTGAAACCATGACGTGATGTGGACATTGTTGACAGCAACAGTGTGATTTGGTGTCTTTGGTCAGTTTTACTTTAATCCTTCTTGTATGTGATGGACCTTCCCTTTACTGTTTTATTAGAGGAATAAGTTAGGTTCTCCCTTCTATTCATGGTCTTTTTGGTAGCAGGTTGGATCCCTTTAGTTTTTCCTTGCTTCCAAGCATTCTGAAGAAGCTTCTAATTTCTTTTGGAGACTTTGAGCAGCAAGCTTCCTGCTTGGGGAAGATCATCTGTGTTAAATATATAAAATAGAAATTGATATCTAGCTCTCATATAGACACTGATGGTGCAATAGAATATCCTGAGCTTTTGAGATACTTTGGAGTATCTAGAAGCTCTCCAGTGGGGTGTCAGAGATAATGGAGGTCTTGAAGAAGGTCTGCAACTTCCTAGCATGGCAAGTGAGGCCAGATAGGACTCACAGGGTCTAAGATGACATGAAGTATTTATGTTTAGGCAACCAAATCCTGCTTCTGAGATTCAGCTTGCAGGTTCATATGTAGCTCTACATACCTACAGTGTAGTGTCTACTTATGATCTAAGGCTCCGAGTTCCCTGAGCTGATATTTGGCTCAGTTCCTGCACACACACTCTGCTGAAATCAACACAGTTATACTGTTGTAAAGAAAATCTAAGGAAGAGGAGAGTCAGGCCCAGGACACCTGGACAAGGTTTGGTAGGATGCACTCTTCATGGAGCCCTCCACGCTTCTGCTATAAAGCATATTGCTTTTCTCTCCTCCAGGGTCCCACAATGTCAGCTTCTCGGTGTTTAACAAAGGAAAGTGAGTAAAAAGAATTATTTTTTTCTCTTTTTCTGTGGTTTTGCATGGGGACACAGCTGCATTTGTGTTCAGGATATGTGAATGACTTTTTTACTGAATCCTGTGTTTCGTTGTTTAGAAATAAGGTTTTTCTATTTTGAGATGATGATCATCAGATTTCAGATGAAAACGGAGAATGTTCCTCCCTCAAAGCATCTTTTTTTGGGGGCATTTTCAATACTCTATCTTCAGTGCCCAAATCACAACTCATCTGTAAAGCCTAACTGAATAAAATCCTTTCACCTTGTTTTTGACTCCTCATCCAAATGGGAAAGAATTTAGCCATAAAAGGAGGTGAAAATGGGTTTTTACTGTGCCAAAACCATACTTTATAATAGGACAGTACTTCTAATAAAGAGTTTCAGCCGCATAATGGAGTCTCTTGAATCAGTGCCTCAATGCGCTGGTGGAAGGCGTTGTTGGTCCTTGTAGAAATGTTCCACAGTTCCTCTGGAGACCGAGTGCTCAGCTCTGCCAAAACAAGGTCTACTTTAACTTAAATGACCAAGGGTCAATTAGGTGTTTTCTCTCTCTTGCAGGTCAGCAGTACACAAAAGTGCTTGGCTCATCAGTGCCAAACAGGAGCTTTTCTTGTATCAAACACATCCAGGTATTGCACTGATCCACCTCACTGGCCTCACGGTCCTAGTGTGGTCTTAGAAAAGGTCTCTCACTGTTGTCTTTTCCAAGGACTTAATTTTGTCGTGTTGTCATTTTGGGTGTGCCGCTCCCCTGGTGTGGGCTTGACTGCACAAAAAGCTGCAGGTCAAAAATTTCAAGAAGACTTGGTTTATTTGCTAAGGCTGGGAGTCCTGCCATGGGCTATATCCTATGAGAGTTAGTGTTCCTCTCGGAGACTTGTTTGAACTTTGTTTAGGATAGCCTAACCTGAGGCAATCAGCCAGAGGACAGCAGTATGGGATGGATTTGGGATGATACTGCTTTTATCATTGTTCCTTTTCCTGTCAGATCATATGTAGACTTGAGATGTTGCATCTAGATAAACATTTCCCCCTTAAATCACACTGTATTTGGTAAGGCTGAGATTTTAGAAATGCAGACCTTAGGATGAGATAGATTCCCACATCAGCTACAAAGAGGACGTGATGTTCAGTTGCTCCAAGTTCTGGATAAATGGTGAATGGCAGATTACTGCACCATTTTTTTTTTTTTTTTTTAAGTAAGGTACATTAACATTAATCACTTCCATGTGACATTTCAAGCTATATTGTAGACAATGGGATCCTGAGCATCTGCTCAAGATTATAGTCATGGGCAAATGTGTCCAAGATTCAGCAAGGCTGGATGCCCAACAACCAAAACAGAAGTAGGGGACTGGGGACTGCAGAGCACTGGGCAGCACTTGGAGGTTGGGTAAAGCTGAAGGACCACTTGGTTCACCTACACAGATCCCCAGCAAGACTCCGTCAAGTTTTTGCCGTTAACTTGGCTGAACTGAATGTATCGAATGCACTAGTTCTTTATGGGCTGTACCTGAGAAGCTTGATTCAAGAGGTAACAAAAGCTTTTTTTTAAAAATAAAACCCCATAGCCAATAAATGTTTTGTATGTTGTTTATAGTATACAGCTTGTTTCACCTATAAATTCAAAACACTGGAAAGGAGGGTAATTTTATGTCCTTCTTTACAAGTTGAGGCACAGTAAAATGAAATAACCCTGCATGAAAGTGTCTATTGGCAGAACACCAGCAGAAACAAGATCTGACAGGTTGATCCAGCAGGCTGTACTGTGGTAGCCAGCAGTCAATATTGGAAAAGTAAAGTTTAAATACTAGATGTATTAACAAAAAAAAAAAATGCAGATAAAGACCATTTTTTTTTTTTTTTTTTTTTTTCCAGAACTGTACAAATACATTTGGGTGGTTAAACTAGGATATCAGATTGCAAAATGAGTAAATGTCATCAAAGAAATAGGTTTCCAGCGTGGAAAGGCATGACTAGAACAGATAAAATCCTGATTCTTGTGGACATGATGTGGACACAGATGTCAGATGTTAGGTTCCCTTCATTTCTCCCTGAAGCCTAAGAGATGACTGGAAAGTGTGGTAACATCTAAACCTATAGGCTAAATTGAGAAGCGAGCCAGAGAAGGTCAAAAGGATTAAACCAGTTTTAATTCCAACTTTTTTTTTTCTTTTTTTGCAGAGCCCCTCAATAGCAGAGAGTATACTGGTTTGCAACCTGAGCATGGCAGATGCAGCCACTGCTAAGTAACAGCCCAAGCATTGCAGTGTTTCTCCTGTCACACGGCCAAATTATCCATGTTGTTCATTCCTGGTGTAATCTCAGCGGCTGCCAAAAACCCTGTGAAGGATCAGTGAGATGCCTGTTTCATTCACAGGAGCCTGCTCTGGCTGGAAACTGTACAAGTGCATTGCTGGCTCTGACAGAAATAGGGTGGGGATTAACCTTTGCAACGCTTGTTTTCAGATCCCCTTTTTCCTTCCTCTGTAGAGATAGTCTCTGTGTTCCCGACTGGTGGGAGTCTTGGGGGAGGCACTGACCTCACAGTCACGGGGGATTTCTTTGAGGAGCCCGTACAGGTCGCTGCTGCAGGTAAGTGGAGAAATGTCTGAAATATGTGTTTTTTTTTTTTTTCCAAAACTGGTTATGGCCCTGACCACAAAACCCAACAGATGCTCATGGATACCACTGCAGGAGTTGTAGGACTCGCCATCAGGAAGGTCCAGTTATTCTGACTGTGGGTTTGAACTGTTTTGCTTGCTTGATAGCGTAAGCCCAGGCTTCTAGCAAAGTGTTGACCCCTTTTGGGAAAAAACGATGGGTTCATGCTGCAGCTGAGCTGTGTGTACAAGTCTCACGCAGAGCATTTGTCTCCTTTTCCTGCTGCCAGGTGTCCCCTGTAAAGTCAAGTATGTCTCTCCCCAACGAATCAGATGCACCACAGAGCCTGTCGGCAAGGGCAGGAGGCTCAGTGCCCCCCAGCCAGGTACAGTATTTACATAACTGAAGGTCCGAACAAGAAAACACACGTGGGAATGGAGGGCAGAAATTGCCTGGTGATTAATGTGGTCAAAAAGCAGGGCTTTCCAAAACTGTCTGCTTCAACACCAAGCCAGTTTCTCCTAGGTTTGACAGGGAGGAGGGCCACAAAAATGATCAGAGGGATGGAGTCACCTGCCCTAAGAGGACAGGCTGAGAGAGTTGGGGGTGTTCAGCTGGAGAAGGCTCCAGGGAGACCTTAGAGTGGCCTCCCAGGATTTACAGGGGGTTAAAGAAAGACAGGGACTGACTTTTTAGCAGGGCTTGTTGCGATAGGACAGGACATGATGGTTTTAAACTAAAAGAGGGTAGATTCAGACTAGATATAAGGAAGAAATATTTTTACAACGAGGGGGTGAGGCACTGGAACAGGTTGCCCAGAGAAGCTGTGGCTGCCCCCTCCCTGGAAGGGTTCAAGGCCAGGTTGGACGGGGCTTTGGGCAACCTGGGCTAGTGGAAGGTGGCCCTGCCCATGGCAGGGGGTTGGACTAGATGACCTTTAAAGGTGCCTTCCAACCCAAACCATTCTGTGATTCTATAGCAAGGAAAGGCAAGGTGGAGAGCTCAGGCCACCACTTGCAGCTGGGTGATGGTGGGATGAAGGTCAACCTGGTGTACAGGGCTGTGGAAAATGGGGGGGGGGGGA